TATCTATCTATCTATCTATCTATCTATCTATCTATCTATCTATCTATCTATCTATCATCTATCAGTCATCTCTCTCTCTTTCTCTCCCTCTCTCTCTCTCTCTATCTCTCTGTCTATCTAACTATTTTGGCTAACCCTGGAGGTTAGATTTGCAACCTTATTACTATAAATCGGGACTCTTTTTTTTAACGCTGGCATTAAAAGGGGATGGGTTGTGCCCAGCTTGGCAAAGGAGACCATGGGCAATACATTGCTAGCTTTTGGGGGTACAGGAAGGGTCCCCCCCACCATCCTTTGCCTTCCAAAGTTGGTCACCACGTCTGGATGGAAGCGTATGGTTGACCCCAGGCTGAACGAACGCAAAGAAAGCTCTAGAAATCGACCCCACCCAGGACAGGGACCCAGACAAGCAAGCCAAAAATTAGAAGAGGACTCCCAACTCCAGGGATGGTTCCTGAGAGCCAGAGGTGGGTATTAAGCTGGTTCTGACCGGTTCTGGAGAACCGGTAGCGGAAATTTTGCATGGTTCGGAGAACCGGCCAATCCCGCCTCTGACTGGCCCCGCCAACCCCATCTCTTCTCCGCCTCCCATCGAGTCCCAGCTGAGCGGCTGGGTCTCCTTTGGTTGCCCTGCACAGGAGAACGGAGCTGGAAAGCAGGTTAGTGGGGTGGGGAGGGAAGGGGGATTTTGTAGGATCCTTCCCCTGCCACGCCCACCAAGCCACGCCCACAGAACCAGTAGTAAAAAAAAAATTGGATCCCACCACTGCCCCAGAGCGATGTTGAAATGGACTTAAGGTGATTGCCACGCGGGCTACGATCTTTTCGAAAATCCGCCGACCTATTCCGAATAAGATAAGAACTTAAAATGGATGAAACCCTGAGGAAGCCACGCAAGAGGCGGCAAAGATATTCAACGGTGTTGCTTTTAGTCCTTGAGGCTTGACAGGTTTGTTCAGCGACGGTTCCAAGCGAGGACAGAACTGAAGGTAGGGAGTTAGGATAGGTCTCGGGAGCTTGGCAAGACAGACTTTCGGATGGGTAGTTTAAGGTAACGAAGGAAAAATCTGAGAGACGTTGGGTTGGCAGCCATATTAGGGATGTCCAACCTTGGCCTGTGGACTTCGAATTCCAGAATCCCATGCTGCCCGGGGAATTCTGGGAGTTGAAGTCCACCGGTCTTAAAAGTGGCCAAGGTTAGGGATCTCCAGATTATATCCTAAGGTATAAGGATATAGTATCTTCCGTATGTCAGAAGATCCCTGGATCTTACTTATCTGGGGAGATGAAACGACTCGAAGACGCTCAAGAAAGCCAGCAACGGTTAAAAAGAAAAAATGCAGCCCAACTTATCCCGCATCAGGGCACCAACTTTGGAGAAAGCGACCCTCAACCCACCCTAGAAAGATCCGAGAGAGATTTCAAGGAGATGGCAAGCAGAGTTAATCAGACACGCAGTGTAATCCCTGGGGAGATTAGACAAACTTTTACAGCCACAGAGAAGCGTGATGGTAAGCAGTCAAACCGGGCCTAACCGGATTGGGAAGGAATTTCCTTTGGTTTGGAGCGGAGGGGGGAGAAAGAGAGAGAGACAGAGGAAGGTGGGGAAGGGTCCATCCGCCTTGCCTGACCACTGGGTGCTGTGGCCACTTCCACCTGGGAGCCACAAAGTGTTGATCGCCGCTGCAGAGAGAGAGGGAGGGAGGGAGGGACAGAGTGAGAGAGAAATAGAGAGAGGAACATAGAAAGAAAAAGAAAGAGAAAAAAGAGGAACATAGAAAAAGAAAATAGAAACAAAAAGAGGGAGAGAGAGAGGGAAAGAGATGAACAGAGAAAGATAAAAAGGCAGAGAAAGAAAGAAAGAAAGAAAGAAAGAAAGAAAGAAAGAAAGAAAGAAAGAAAGAAAGAGGAACATAGAAAGAGAGAGACAGAGAAAGAAAGAAAGAAAGAAAGAAAGAAAGAAAGAAAGAAAGAAAGAAAGGGAAAGAGAGAGGGAAAAAGAGGAACATAGAAAGAAAAAGAAAGAAAAAAGAGGGAAAGAGAGAGGAACATAGAAAAAGAAAATAGAAACAAAAAGAGGGAGAGAAGGAAAGAGATGAACAGAAAAAGAAAGAAAGAAAGAAAGAGGGAAAGAGAGAGGGAAAGAGAGGGAAAAAGGAACAGAGAAAGAGAGAGACAGAGAAAGAAAGAAGGAAGGAAGGAAAGAAAAATAAACAAAAAGAGACGGAAAGAGAAAGGGACAGAGACATAGGGACAGAAAGAAAAAAAGGAAAGAAAGAAAAATAGAAACAAAAAGAGGGAGAGAGAAGGAAGGAAGGAAGGAGGGAAGGAACTGTTTCAAATAGGAAAGTGGTAACCAGCTTCTCCCTTCCTCCAGCTGTTCACGCTGGCTTTGGAACGGCTCCAGCTCCAGCTGTGACTCCTGCACGTAGGCAGTGAAGGCGGCCTGATTGAATCATCCCTCATATCTCTCCTTCTTTACCAGGCGGTCACTTAAGAGTGACCTGGGGTGTGTGTGTGGGGG